TTAATGATAAATAGTGTTAAACACCCTCCATATACTTCTCCAGCCCTCTTAAAAAACATTTTAGGCCAAATGCTTTATGAAGAAATATCAAAAAACAACATCCAAGATATTAGACAACATATTCATAAACATTCTGTGTAATAACTTTCTGTAAGTTAACTTTTTTGCATTAAATGCTTTAGATGTCTGGTTCCTATCACCACTACTGTGAACAATTCTGGCTCAGCATGTGTCTCTGAAATCTGTGCATTTTACAACAAACTACTCTGAATGACCGAATGATCTCGAGTAAATTATCAAGAAATTTTGAAAGTGGTGAAATTACTCTTCAAGCCTAGTCTTAGACTAAACTGCAGTGCTGATGATGAATTACCACTGTGAATTCTTTTTGGTCTGGTCTTTGGCTTAATCTGGGTATGGGAAACTGGACCTGTTTCATTTTTTTATTTATTTTTTTACAGTGCACCGGATTGTCTGATTGGATGAGCAATGTGCTCATGATCAGGCTAATCAAAGTGAGTAAATTATACTTCCAACCAGTTCCGTTGTCAATAGCCAGAGGCTAAACTTTACAGCTGTTAACTTTATATTTCAAGTCTCAGTTTAATGAAAAACTGGTGTCAGACCCCAGCATTGACACGGGATACGCAGCTGTTCAGTAAAAATACACACTTGACTTAAGACCCTGCGAGTTGTGGCTAGAATGAAACAGCCCCTTAAGGGAGTGCTAGTGGCTGTGCCTTTGCACCTGCACTAAACCGACCTAACTGCACGATCAATTCTCCCTTGAGTTTTTAGAGCTACGTTAAACTCAGCAACCTTGCCCTGTGGAAAAAAGTGGCCCTGGCCAAGAAATCCTGTTCCATTTCCTTCCATAAAAGCAACACTCACTTCACACAGTGCTGCTTGAATGATGTGTGACTGAGACATGGTGAAAGCTGTCAATGCCTTTTAATTACATACTCAACGCACAATTTCTTAAAATGTAGGTGGAGTTCTGCAATAGGAACTTTGAGTTGCTTAAATAACATTTATTTAGGAAATGTATGTAAATAAACTGTTTCAGACCTGGATGTTAAGGGAGGAACCGTTGTATTTGACACTAATAGGAATGGCTCTCAAAACTCATTGTAGCTAAATTATACATTATGTTATCCTGATTTAAACTCAATGCACTAAAACATACAGCATACAATTAGGCATACATTATGCAATACTGAAGTAAATAAACCATCACATTTTTCCCCTAACGTGTAATTCATCCATAAAACTGCATTTTCAGGCACATTAGTCAAAAATAAGGGCAAGAGAGAAAGATAAACAAACTTCAGTGTATGTGAACCAAGTTTTCTAAATCATGCAGCCATAATTGCTAGATCATCCACTATGGTGTGAAAACTACAACTTGGCAGCTATTTTATCTAAAGTTATATGTAATATATTTACAATATTCACTTAAAGGCCTTATCTAATGTAAAATCAAGAGTTTGATTTGGTATGTAAACATTGTTAACCACTCCCCAGTACATACAGTTTGCAAAAACATCCCAGTTTCAATTAATTGTTTTTGTAATAATACAAAAAAAAATGCATTTACATATATCCATCCATCTAGCCTACAGCAGTTTAGCCCCGCCCATTCTTACTGATGTTATAAAGAGTGTTTCAGTCTCGACTGCTTTTTGAATGAGACACAATACAGACCAGCCAATCAGAACAGAGAAGTTTAAACAGCACATTACACTTTATTGATTTTCTAAGTGAAAAGAATACGTCGTCTACAGGGAACAGATATAAATATGGCATTCTGCAAATTTTAGTGTACTTGTGTTTATTTGCTCAGGTTAACATATTGGAAAATAATTGAGCATAAAATATAAAATGTGCCATAACTTTTGCACAGGTCACATTTTATGTTTTTTTTCTTTTGTTAAATTCAGCACATAAACAGTAAATGTATAGTAAAATGTGCAGAAGTGTGTTCTCTGTAGAGGATGTATTAAGTTATTTTCACTTAGAAAATCAACAAAACGGCCGTATGTCATCGTTGGAGTCACAGTAACTAAAACAGCTGGTTTAATTCTAAGGGAAAAAATAAAATACAATAAACACATAGGATATGGGTCTTTTGAAAAGAATCTAGCATGATGTAAATTGCTAATACCAAGTAACTGAATGTGCATTTAAATCGAAAGCTTAGATTTTAAACAGAAACTTAACAGCCCAATTAAATTAATCATCTTGTTTTTTTTTCACTGTGAAGTTTGTTTTTCACTGGAATTATTGGTCAACTTAAGCTTATCATGCCAATCTGCTGGCATAAACATACCTCTTTTATTGATTTTAACCAAATTATAGTGATAGGCTTGCTTTAGGCTCACGTCATAACCTTAGATGTCTGCTACTTTACTGCAACATATCATGGCCTTGTCATTAACCCATAGCGGAATGTGAACCATCTCACGCTGGTATTTATTTGCAATCTGCATCAAAGCAGTTCAATCTATTATGTCTCTTTCTGGTGAAGATGGGGCAACAACAGCAGCTAGTAATGGCTGAATCTCGTCAGGCAGTGTTTTAGGCAGTATGTTAAAGTATCGAAAATGATCAGTGCATACCAGTCTTCATATTTATGTGGAAAAGGCCCTCCTGCTGCTGTACTGCAGCTGAGCTCGTTAAAGCTGGGTGGAGGATATGGAACATGTGTGGCACACAAACCTGATATTTTCTTCAGCAATGCATTCAACTAGTTGCTATTTATATACACTGAACAAGTTGTTGTTAAGATGGGGAATACTTCTGTGATGTCCGCATTCAGTTGCATTAAAATGAAATGGATTTGTCAGATGGTGAACTGTGGAGTGCTGGGTGCCTCAGCTGTTTTGAATCTTAAATCCAAATTACACACCAAACTGGAGTATATCATTATGCCGGATGTCGCTGACGTCCCGCCAGTCATTCCTTACTGAGCTCTTGCCCAAGAGGCCTGCATCACTAATCTAAATGACATGTCCATGAATTCCAGATGATAACAACTTGGACGTCTTGGATAAGCTTGAGGATCTTTCAAGTTTGACTAGAGGCTCAGGATGCCAAGAATGATTTATTGACCATCAGGGATGGTTTTCAGTAATGAAAAATAATGAAGGTGTAAGTCATAAGCTCCTGTATGTGGGCCTAAACTACATTTCCTCATTTGTAGTTCCTTACTACATAACTTACACATTAGTTTCATTATAGTTATCCATAGTAGTAACTGAATAATAAGTCTTAATGTGTCTTAAACTGTTGCTATGTTATCCCAGGTGATTGCTAAGGTTTGGCTAGGATATTGCTATGATGCCCCTTGTGGTTACTAAAATGTTTTTGATATATATATATATATATATATATATATATATATATATACTGCAACATTTCATGGTTCAAGTTTGTAAATTGCAACCTGTGAAAATGGTGCAAAAAATGTAGAAAAATCAGACAAAGAACAATAAATTGGGTTTGCCAATCCAATTTAGACTTAATGGTAAGACTTAAGGTATCAACTTTGCTTGCTATGCTAAACAGTGCAAAAATGTGAAATACTGTATCTGAAAGTGTGTAAGCAATTCCATACATGTGGTGTATTGAAATTTAAGGGCTGGTCAAACCTGTTGTGCATAGCTGTGATAATTTAAAACATGTGTAAAGGCCATAGAGAGGTTATCCCTGCCTGTTCCCAGCAGTAAGGTCATGACCCAAATCCAACACAAACAAGAGGTATGTCATGACACACTGGTGTACCTTGTGCAAGCTCCTGTGTCAACTACATCTTGACCACAAAGGCCCTTTTACATAAAACGAATCTCTAAATTAGGCCATAATTGCACTAATAAACACAGTAACCACCACAGATGCTTTGTAGATGCTCACTTTGTCTCACATTCAAAAAAAATGTTTATTAAATGCAACTGAACTTTAAGGAGAAATCCAACTCAATCCTTAATTTCAGCTCAAAACCTAAACTTAACCCTAAAGCTGTTGATAATCAAGTGAGTTTACCAGATAGTTTACCAATTTGAGCATCTGTAAATAATCAGAAAAATTAGAAACATAAACACTTATTTTTTTATTTTGGACTGAAATCTTTCAGAAAATATAATAATATCACAAGAACTTAAATATTAGATGAAGATTTACTGTTAGATTTACTGTCTTCACTGAAAAAACAGCATGTTGTTTATGAATTATTATGTCTGAGTAACTGAATGTGTATTTTCATTGAAAGCTTATATATTTTTCTTAAATAAAATTGAACATACAATTAATGTTACTGTAAATGACCTCAGTATCTTTTATTGGGGACTTCTTAGAAGTGCATCATGCTAATTTTACAAAGCTAGTTTCTCCATTCATTTTGTCACCATGAGGCACCATGTGATACCAGTTTAACCAACACAGTCATCAAGTTGTCTCTGTAATTACTATAATGAACAGTAATCTGAGGTACGTTTTAAGAATTAGTGCTTACAAAAGGAAAAGTGAGACATGAATAAAATTGTATCTCTGTGTTTGAATCCACCAAAAGACTAAAATTGTATAACGGTCCAGAGTAAAAACACATCTTTAACTAAAAGTCAAATCAAGCACTCTGCTCTGCTGCACAAACGTTAAAAAAGTAAAATAGTCCTGCAGATGGCGTCCATATTGCTGAAGCTGTCCAAAACAGCTGGATTTGCATCGCTTCACAGTGCAGTGGGGATCAAGTATCAGTTTGCTCTGGTATCCACTATTTTAGCCTGCCATGCAAACAGTAGCTCTTCCAGAGAAACTTTTTAGCACAAAGAAGGAAAACTAGGGCAAACCTGTGTATAGGTAATGTACAAAACCTTTGATTTCATGAACAACTAAAGAAACACATATCTTTGTCTGTTCTCCTAAATCATACGCTAGGAAATAGCGTATGAAAAAGGAAATAAAAACATTTCAACTATTCTGAAGACTGAAAGAAGAAAACTTACTGTTTGATTTTTACTTTTCTCAAACCATTTGTCCAGTGAGGTCTTAATTCCAAGCAGTGAAAAAGAGAACAAAAGTAAAATCCAAGAAGTTCTGTTTTCTATACTCTCTCAGTCCTCATATCCAGGCACACTGAGCTGATGTAAGACAACTCTGGAGGGGGAAAAAAACAGAAGGGGAGAGAGAGAGAGAGAGCGAGAGAGAGAGAGAGAGAGAGAGAGAGAGAGAAAGAGAGAGAAAACTAACATACTGGGGATTCTTGGGTACATGCCAAAGTCCCAGAATTCCTCATGCCATACAGAAGGTTTCAATTAAGTCAGACTCCAGTGACCAATCGGAGAGGTTTTTTCTCTTGAATGTATTTTTTGACAGCCTAAGGGAATACTGAAAAGATCATCATTCATAGTGGACCTTATTTATGGAGAGCGGTGAGATTTTTTACTGCGATGCTGTGAATTTGTTCCTGGACATTGCAGTAGAGAACCATCACTGCCGTCTCCAGTGTCCTGTGGTAGATTAAAAAGTATCCACTACAATTAAGCATTAGATGGATTTACCCATACAGACATCTGATATATGGCAATATATGGATTTCAAATAGATGACATATATTAGCATATATGGATTTATATGTAAAGCTTATATTTGTCACATATGGACATATATGTGGCATATATATCAACTTGAAATTAGCCATTTTCAAGTACCCCATTTCAAAACCTCAACCTGACTCATCATCATCAAAGTCTGGTCTTTGTAAGTGCATGCCATGTCTCAGCTAAATCAGATTTCTGAGCACCTGAGAAAAACTTTTGCCAATGCTCATTAGGCTGGAAGAGATTCCAGAACTGTTTCTGAAGAATTTGGACTTCACTTGTCCACTGTCAGACAGATAGTGTACAAATGGAGGAAGTTCAACACCACTGTTACTCTTCTCAGAAGTGGTCATCCAACAAAAATGAGTCAAGATTAAGGTGTAAAACATTCTGGGAGATCTCAAAAGAACTCCAGGGTAACATCTAAGGATCTGCAAGCCTCTCTTACACTGGCTAATGTCATTGTTCTTGAGTTTACCATTAGTCAAAAAGTGAAGAAAAACATGTATGGAATGATAGTATAGAGAAGGCCACTACTCCCCAGGAAGAACATTGCTGCCTGTTTAAAGTTTCCAAAAGACCACCTGGAAGAGCAAGCCATATTTTCGAATGGGCAGTTCAAACTAGTCCATCAAAGATGTCAAAAAACTCTCACTTTGACGTTCATCTTCACTGACTGAATAACACAAGTCATTTATTATTCTCAGTTAAATATATATTATGTAATGAACACTGATTCATCAGAGGGAAAGCTGGACATTCATTCTTTCCAGTGGTCATTCTAAGTTTGTGTGGAGGCTGAGTTGTCTAAATGGATGCGTTGAATTGAGCCAGCTGTTTTCTTCTTTCTTCCCCCACAATGAATGGATGGAGCTAAACTGCTGTTGGCGAAAGAAGCGTATATACAGTCATATGTCATATTTTGTTGAATTTCTAAGTAAAAAATAAGTTCACACATCCACTACAGAGAACACATTTCTGCATATTTAATGCACGATAACTGTTTGCTGAATTTAACCTTGGAAAGAAAATAAAACATAAAATGTAGCCTGTGCAAACGTTATAGGATATTTTATATTTATGTTTTATTTTTTTTCCAATATGTTAAACAAAAAAACAGAAAATGTGCACCAAAATTGGCAGAAAAAATCCATATTTAAGTTCTCTGCAGAGAATGTGTTAACTTATTTTTACTTAGAAAATCAACAAAATTTGACTGGGACATTTAAACTTTTGCATACAACTGTCCCAAAAACTATGAACTCAAACTGGACTGATTTTTTCAGAATTGTGTGTGAACTATGAAGCAAATGTTATGTCTTGAAACTTATTTACATACAACACAAACTCCTCGATATGGGCCCTTTACAAAGAAAAAAGAACACCACTGATTCTTTTCCAGTCAAATGTATAGTCATCTCTACACAGCAGAGCTTACAGGAGGTTTGGGCAATTTTAGACTCTCTGTTGGAATTTCACGTTGACCCCTATTCCATTCCCCAGACCCCTTCACCCCCCATTTTTAAAGCACAGTACTCTCACTGCACAGTAATGAGAAAAGCATATGGCAGTCCCCAGCACCACATTTTTCTTTTCTTTTTTCTAATGATCATGGATAGCTCTGGCTAGGAGCAGATATTCAATTATAATTTATGGACAGAAAGCAGATAGAGAATAACTGTGTACTGTAGAAAACTGTGTGTTACAAACCAGCAGAACTGCGGTAGAGTATATGTAATGCACTTTCACTATAAAATGAACAGTATGGACTCTATGCTTTAATTTTGAAGGGGCTCATGGAACTTTGAACTACAGATGTTAAAAAATTCCTTTATCAAAGCTAAATCCATTTAATTAATATTACCATTTTAATAATATCTGATTTCAGTTCTTATTTTAGCAGCTAATTATGTTTTTGCTTGTTTAAATATTATTAATATATATAATTATATTGCATATTATATATATTTTCTCAATTTATTTTGGTTTTTCCTGGAGTCCATTTCTGACGTTTATGTGGGTTTATGTAAACTATGTAAAGCAAAAACAGTCGTAAATAATTTATACATGACCATTTTTCAGTCTATCTTTATTCCTTACAATAAAACAGGCTGCTTTCGTTAGTGTGCCTTTAAGACATATATGTGTAATTCTAGATATATGTAACAATGTTTACATACGACAACAAGAAAGCAAGGAAAAGTCATTTTTCCTTACTTTTCCTTGGATTTTACATTGAATTATGTAAATAATTCATATTATATATGTGTAGTATGTAAAATTCTATAGAGTATGATATACACTGATCAGGCATAACATTATGAGCACCTCCTTGTTTCTACGCTCATTGTCCATTTTATCAGCTCCACTTACTGTATAGGTGCACTTTGTAGTTCTACAATTACAGACTGTAGTCCATCTGTTTCTCTGTATACTTTATTAGCCCCCTTTTACCCTGTTCTTCAGTGGTCAGGACCCCCATGGACCCTCACAGAGCGTGTACTATTTGGGTGGTGGATCATTCTCAGCACTGCAGTAACACTGATGTGGTGGTGGTGTATTAGTGTGTGTTGTGCTGGTACAAGTGGATCAGACACAGCAGTGTTGCTGGAGTTTTTAAACACTGTGTCCGCTCACTGTCCACCTCTATTAGACAGTCCTAACTACCTTGTCAGTCCACCTTGTAGATGTAAAGTCAGAGACGATAGCTCATCTGCTGCTGCACAGTTTGTGTTGGTCATCCTCTAGTCCTTCATCAGTGGTCACAGGACACTGCCCACAGGACACTGTTGGCTGGATATTTTTGGTTGGTGGACTATTCTCAGTCTAGCAGCAACACTGAGGTGTTTAAAAACTCCAGCAGCACTGCTGTGTCTGATCTACTCAGAGCAGCGCAACACACACTGCCACACCACCACCACATCAGTGTTACTGCAGTGCTGAGAATGATCCACCACCCAAATAGTACATGCTCTGTGAGGGTCCATGGGGGTCCTGACCACTGAAGAACAGGGTAAAAGGGGGCTAATGAAGTATGCAGAGAAAAAGATGGACTACAGTCTGTAATTGTAGAACTACAAAGTACAAAGAGCTGATAAAATAGACAATAAGCGTAGAAACACGGAGGTGATCATAATGTTATGCCTGATCGGTGTATGTAAACGATTTCTATACTGACCAGCTGCCCTGTTTGGTGCCTCTTTCTAAAAGCAGTCTGGACTGAAACACTCCTTATAACTTCTGTGTGAATGGGTGGGGCTAAACTACTGTAGGCAGATAAATGTAAATGTGTTGGTTTTTGTGACATCACTAAAATAATGAATTTAAAACAGGCTGTTTTTGCAGCTTAGTTTCCAAATGTAGACTGGTAGATTTTGAAAGTTAATAATGATTACATACATACACTAAACTCTTTTCAGAGATACTTATACCTATAAATATGACTTTGTCTCTATAAAAAGTTTAATTGAGGGTAATGTTGGCTACTGACAGCGATTTCAGTGTTTTGAACCAGTGTGTCCAGAAAATCTTTTGATGACCTTCAAAGTGAAATTAAATGATCAAAGTTGTATGCTTACACATGCTATATACTATTGTTGCTGTCCAAAGAAAAACACATATCTCCAATTTGTTACTTTTATACATCATTCAAGCACAGCAGATGTCCTTTACATTGTGAGGAATGTTCCAGATGATTGGGCAGTAGATTAAATAATATCCTGGAACAGGAAATAAGACTGTTTGTCAGATGTAGTGATCTGGCACCTGTGTTTGGATTGATAGGAAGACTGTTCACATTTTAGTGATCAAGAAATATTTACTAGAAGATGTATGTAACCTCAAATCAATTTATATTGATTCTGTGGTCTAGCTCTAAAAGAAAAAGAAAAAAAGGAAAAAAGATAGACCTGAAATACACTTAACTTTTTTTTTATTGTTGATTTGGCACAACATATTTTGCTGGACAGTAAAAGTAACTGCAAAATAATAAAAAGGGGGGCATGAAAGAGAGCAACAGAGAAAGGGAGGGAGAGAGCCTCAGAGTGCACGTCTCTGAAATGGCTGTAGTGTGTGGTGGCTGTGCAGACGCTGGCCAATCATAACCTACCTCATAAACGCTGTGCTGGAAAATGTGATTCAACTCTGCTTCAGTTTAAGCCTCAGATGCAAAAAACATACCTATCAAACACGCACGCACGAGGAATGGACCAAACCATTTTTATTGTAAAGAAATTATTTACTTTAATATAATTATTGAATTTATTCTGCAAAATACTCATCACACTGGACTTTACAGTAGCTCTCATATTAGAAATTGTTTGTCCATGCTCCATTTGTTCAGTTTTGCTTCTTGATTACTGAAACATAGCCAATAATTGTTCATAGCAATCGTTCAAATCGAATCAGCATAGTCATCAGATAAAGTGTATACTTTCCACAAAGTACATTCTAACAGCGTAAAGAATCAACATTTAAAAAAAGAAGAAGAGGAAAGTGGGACAGAGAGTATATATCCTTGAATTTCATCACTGTCTTGGAACACAACTCTAAGTTTCTCAAAGAGTGAACACAGACTGGATAGCAATGCCCTGAGGCTGAGCATTACCCTTTCAGACCAACATACAGTCTGAACGCACTGAAAAATTAAGAGAGCAACCCATGTACCGTATTCTTCTTTGCATTACATTCAGTTTTATGGTGTATACATACATATAAATTAATAGTTAAAACGCATATTCCCAATTTAGGAAAAGAAAAGCATTTATATAAAAATAAGTTTTAGCAAAATAAATAGTTTGATCTTAAGTGATAACTTCATAACTTGAGGCCTTTTTCCTTCATGTTATTGCACTAGAATGTCACAGTTTCTCCCAGCCTGGTAGAAGAGAGATGAAGGAGAAGACAACGGTTTCCATGATGGTCGTCAGATGTGGCTGCCAGTTCGCAGATCACAGTCCGTTCTTTACATGCTCATGGATGCCTCTCGTGTCGATGACCAGGGCAGCGTGGAATTCTCTGCCGTTCACAAGTTTCTCCAGTCCCTGACAAACAAGAATAGCGGAGAGTTAGTTCCCAACACATTTACCTTTCAGTTGAGAATCTCTATTCAGAATGCTGTGTAATCAAAATCTAAACTTAATCCCTGTATAGAGAAGCATTAACACTTCCACAAAAGCTCTGGATTTATTTTTTTTTTCCTTTCCAATACCAGTACTAAACCCTTGAGCATCAGACAATACTGATACAATATTTCAATACTTCTTTAAAAACTACTAAGCTTTAAAATTAGCTATTTTTCATTAAAGCACTTCACTTATGATGAGCATCTAAAAGTAGGCTATGATGCTCAAACTACTCAAATACTCTACTACCCCACTGCAAGAAATATACAGCTAAAAACAACACGATGCAATGTGAGTGAGCGCTATTTCAGGCTACTCTATCACAGGATCAGATCAGATTCATTCTCCTTTTCCCCTCTGATATTTGCTCTAGCATTCTGCAAATACTGGCCAATACCAAAACCCATCAATGCTGATATAACATCTCTAATAAAAAATACACAGATACAGATTCAGGGTACCATCACTGTCACAAGAAATCTTTTTTTTTCGAAAACTCCACATTTTAATGACAAATGGTTCAAAATTACATTGTTTAGTTTGTAAAGTTTGTGAAGACCCCCACACCCTCATCTATACAGTTACCTTTTCTGAGAAGCAAGTTATTCTTAGGACAATTACTACATGCTTCATATATACGCCCCATACAAAACTCATTTATCAACCATGTGTACACATGTTGATGTGCATGTAAACTGCACATGCGCACATTTTCACAAGTAGAATGTGATTTATTAATGTTTTTTTGTGTGTATTTAGAATTACTCCTGCCCATGCATATGCAGAACTCCCTAGTGGTAAAATAGTGAAATAGTGAAATAGTGTGGGAAAACTGATTATGATACTGAAGGAAATTCACATTTATTATCAGCTATTTCAGCATAAATGACAGAATGACTGCTGACTATAAAATTGTTTCATCAGTTCAAAAAAACTGTGTGGTAGCAAGTACTCCAATAAACACACTGATCTCTAACTCAGATCCACTTCTGCCCTGTTCCACTTTTTAGTGTATAGATGAAGTTCAGTCAGGTGACACAGATGACAGTTGATTTAGGCTGAGAGTAAAGTTAAATCACAAAAAGGCACATCTAAAAAGCTGATCGTGATGCAGACAGTGGCTGACGTTGCCTTGCTTAAAGTTGTGCTTAGGCATTTTAGCCTTTAACCTAAAATTATCAGCAAATCAATGTAAACAATAAAATACATTCACTACAAGTAGAAATTAAATATGAAATGTAAAAATCTAACTCAAACATTCAATGATTATTACTTGTTGAAATTATGTTTTAGCATGAATAAATACATTTAGCATAAGAAGTAATTTTATGACTATTCCCAATCGATTTTACTGTAATGTTTTCAAGACACAGCAACTGAGTTGTCAAAAGCATTTAAAAGTATACACTGAAATTATTGAATTACTGCATATTTATTATCATTAAACAATTACTGCATGTCCAAATTGAATTCTTACAAGTGAAATGTTAATGTTTAAACTGTATTCTCACATGTTAAAATAAAAAAAAAAACCCTGTTTGGAATTGAAAAGCTATATTTTTTGAAGGCTTAATTCAACTTTCTATGTGCTTAGTTTTACTGGGCCCTTTCAAAGGAACATTGTTCACCATATATAGCCATTTCAGAGCACTTCTTTATGTAAACATGATAAATTGATTAATATTAATCATCTTATGTATACAGTTCTGCACATATGTATAGATAAGATGTTTTAAGCACACTGTGATGAATGAGGCTTCCCTTACCTCTCCTCCATAGGACACAAGTGGAGAGATCTCACATTTGATTGGCAGGTCTGTCCCATCCTTCAGACTGTAAGGAATTGAGGGTTAAAATCATTTAATCTCTACGGCATTTCTCATAATAGCTGACAAATAGATAGAAGAAAAAAAAAAAATCAAACAGAAAATCTGACAGCGTCTGAGGAGGATTCACTGGAGTCATTGGAAAACCCATTCCACTCACGGCTGAGTAAACAGTTATGTATTAGAAATGAAAGAGAGCAATAGCAGAATAGGGATTTCACATCATTCAAACTATGCAAAATCCAGTCACCCAGTCATCCACTGATACTGGCAACTGAAGAGAGAGGTTTTTTCATTTGCCTGTCAATAAGCAGTTAAAAGATTATGAAAGAAAACTTGATTATGAGCAAGAAAGCACCATGAAAAACGTAACCGTTACAATAAAAAATGAATAAACAGTGTCAGCGCTGACCGCAAAGCAAGCAGTGCCCTGTCCCCAACATGCGCCATTCTGCTGTTAGTACCTACTGTCTGGTGAGAATGAGTCAAGGGCAGCCGGTTGAGAATACCAACCTTTACCCTCGCCAGGAGAGCAGAAACTCTCCCTGTGAGCTGCATTCTCTACGGCCTACTAAACTGAGTAAGGGAGAAGCGAAAGGCCCATCACCATGCACTACATACAACCGTGGAAATAGTTACTTCTGGCTGCCATCAGGTGAGAGTGTCCCTGCTGGTCCGTGTCTAGAAATGTTACACAGGAAATAAAGTGTGAAAAAGCCAGACTGAGATGTAAACACTGTGGATATTTGGTGAAAACTGAGTGAGTGGAAATGTGATTTAGAGTGTACAAACTGTAATTCTGAGGTGATGTTGAACCTGTATTGACCTCTCTTCTACATAAACTTCTACAGCACTACTCATTAAGAGCAGAATGACCGGAGTTTATGATTTGCCGCTGCACAGCACAGCGAGCAAACAGTGCACTAGATAAAAAGCTTATGCATGTGTGTATGTTTGTGTGTGAGAAACAGGAAGAATGAAGGAAATGGAAGGAAACTGAGTGTGCAGAGTTGAATGTTAAGTCTGCATGAGGGAGAGATAGAATGAAAAATGCAAGGAAAACAGAGAAAGAATTGGTATGTGTGTACACAAGTCAATGTTGACTTTGTGGGCCTGATGTACTAAGCCTTTTGTGACAGTTTCAGGTGCAAATTCGATGTATTCTGCCTACTTATTGTGTACAAAAGTGGTGTATGAGCCCAAGTATGCAGTTCATGGGACATATGGTGCATAAAACGCAAAATGCACTTCTCTTCCTCATGCATATGCATTTGAGGGAGTGCCATGCAAAAATGGGTGGAGATATCACATGTGTGGCTGATTACATATTCTGCTCGATTTAGTTTGAGCAACTTGTGATGGCCAGTTTTGCATTGATTTTCCTCCACATTTTAAAACCAGGCAAAACATTGGACGTCAGTAGTCACCTAAACTGCTTTCACAAATACATGCTAAAATCTTCATACATTTGATTTAAATTATGTTGCTAAGCTATGTAAACTTGTTAAAAAGGATTTAGTAAAACAGTGAGGATAGACCTTATTTACACATTTAACATAAAACTGGAATGACATTATCATCCGCATAATGTCCCACTTTCTGGAACTATTCTGGCTTTAAACTCTGGGAGGCTGAGGTACAGGGGTGTGTTGAAAAATGTCTTACTGTAAGAAAGTTAGAAGTTGCATGTCAAATAACGATAAACCAGATCTACATTTGTGAGAAGACACATCTTAAATTTTCCTTGATATGGCCGCAATATGTGTGTGCAGCCCGGGTTATTGTTTCACAAACTATATTCCTTTAGCCACAGTACATTTAAACCGCTGTATAATGTTTTGGTGGAAAGAACTTTTTATTAACACCACTATCTCTTCATTACAGAACTTTAATTTTCTGGTTTATCTTACTAAAGGCTCCTTTACTTCTCTTTCAAACCCAGCGACTCATGAGTTAGAGGGCACGGCTGCGCACAGTTTGTTTTAATAAAGTCTTAATAAAGTGAACGTTAATTTCAGGCACGTTGTGAGCACATACCATGGTTGCATCAACCTACATTTTGTACCACGTCTGCACTCATACATATATTTGGGTCTGTTTGTGTGTTTGTGTATATGAGTATACATGCATGCAGCTCACCTGGGTATAGCAGGCACACGGGTTCCGTTTTCATCTATGAAATGTCCGCCTGCATTGAGGATCCAGCGGTGATGCAGGGACATGAGTGCGTGCCGAGCGGTTGTGGGGTTATCCTTCCCATCCTGACTGTCTGCATTCTTCAAAGGAGAAAACTCGTCCTCCCTCAGCACCTCATACACCACAAAATTCCTGAAATACACAAACATATGCAAATCACTAATGTACACAAGCAACTCAGAATAATTAGCTGTTACATAGTAATTTTCAGGGACAAATGAGGTCCATTTTCTGTCAATTATAACAAAACAAAAAACAGATTGGCCATAAATACTACAGAAAATGTTTTGATGTGACCACTGGCATTCTTGCACTTGAGCACAATAATGCTTTTCTAACTTTTCTAACTTTTAACCCCTTAAGCTCTGAAGAATCTCTCATAACTATACACATACAAGTTTCATAGTACTTACTGAGTAACATACTGAATTATTTTCTAAATTTATTAATAATTTTAACTGAATTATATTGGACTATTGCTATTAATGTTATATTAAAATAAGGCAATATGACAATTAATGTTTCAATACTGCTGTATTATGTATGTTTTATGTTTTATGTATATATGCTGTGATGTTTTGCATTATGCCATATCTTTTTAAAATTATGCTGCAACCCAACCACAATGGATACACATTCAACACAAAGAAGGCTAGAGTTTTAGGGGTTCAAGTAAGACATTACAAGATGAAGAAATCAGTGCAACACAGACATCTCATGAGCAGAAGTACATATTTTCCTTTGCACAGTATATCTACTGCTTCTTATTACCCTGAGACAGGTTACAAGAGAAAGTAAAAAAGGTAAGGAACAGAAAAAAACAAAAAATTCAGACACTAACTTGGCAAATTGGAAAATGTCGAAGACAAATTTTTCCATTTTAATTCCGTTGGGTTTGTCGGGTTTGATTAGCTGTCCTTGCGTGTCCACATAGGGGATTTTCTTCTGTGCCACATGGTGCTGCAACTGCGGCTCATGCGTACTGACAGACAGGCAGGCGAGCAAAAAGACAGAGGGAAAGAAAGGGAGATGCAGAAAAGTGAAACATGTTCTTTCTATTAGAATATCATAAAAATTACAATAAGAGAACAGATCTGGCAAAGCCATCATGTGTTTAAAATACCAGACACACGAAAACTGCAGATGTTCCTTTCTTGACTTCACCTCATATTCTTTGTGCACAGTAAAGTTTGTTCCATTCTACTAGTATTTACAAGACTGCAAAGCACACTGAGGACAGCTCATCGAAATAGCTGTCCCATTTAAAACCATAATGAGACATATGTCTAGCAACAAAATACAGCATGGATCCCAATTTAATTCAAAGTGGTAAAAGAGTAATTGGGATTTTTTTCCTCAAGTTAATTTACTATAGAAATATACAAATGAAAGGTATATGAGTCACACTGATAAAAACACTATAATAAAAATACGGTATCATGTAATGTGGTAACTGACAACTCACTTGACAACATCTTTGAGGAAGGGAAGAGAGAAGAAATGATTGGCTACATTGCCAGCATTGAACATAAGTCGACCATCGGTGCTCCGCTTTTCGGCCGTTGCCAGGGTTATTTCGCTGTACTCAACCACTTGGTAACGCCCATCTACCTTACAGACCACGCCCACCGCCTCAGTCGGATTGGTTTTCTCCACCACCTGCCAATGCAGCCACACAATGCAGCCTGGTATGAATTTCTCAGAGTTTCATAACAGAGTATATGTGAAAGGCAAATTACTAAAGTTGTGAATATCAATCAAATATGACTGCCTGAAGTGAACTAATGTTTTTATCAGATTCTGGTTAATCCACAACCTGTGATAAGCAGTCGGATTATGTATTAAATAAGACAGAATTCAAAATCTTATTTTCATGAGAAAGTATGTACTTTGTTAACTACTAATACGCATCTTACTAAAGTCATAAACAGGAGAAAAAATTTTAAAACACTTCCAACTAACTCTAACCACTGTTTTGTTCTCATACGAAAAGTAAAAGACAACTTTTCCCATCTTATTACTCCTACCAGTTTCAACCTAGAGTAAAGAAGACCACACACTCCATCTAGTCTTCTCTATGCCTGGAGTCTGCATTAAATTAAAGCAACAGCAGAAGTGCTTCATCCATCTGCGAGTAACAAATTACAAAGTTCTCAGTTGATGATGGGTTAGGATGGGGGTGGAGGCACTGAGCTAAAGCCACATTAACTGCATGCTTTACAATTTATGAGGGGTGGGTGGGTTCAACTTTTCTTACAATTGTGCTCCTGACATGAAGAGACTTTTTAATTACTAGTGGAAACCAAAGCCTTGGAGTCATCTGCATTTTAGACCAAACTGAGGACCCACGTGAATTTGTGCTTATTATCAAAGCCAAATGTTTTGATTTATCATAAATTCTGAACTGAAGGTCAATGATAATGGCTACAACTATGTTTATAAAGCACATGTTAGGATATCGCAATAAAATACATAGGTAGAGGCACTGAACAAAGTGAACACAGAATAGGCTACACTGGAGGTTAGAAACTGCCATATTTTACCCTCGATCCACTTTTACTCCACTTTAAGAAGCAGAAAAATCCACTGGAAACATTGGCAAGTATTAGTGAACTGTTTCCCAAGCATCTCACAGGGCAAATCAGATCATAAGACGACTGACATTTTTAAACCAGTGGGGACATTTTCCTCGCCTGCCTTTCTGCTCCAATAAAACCGATATACAAGAATGACCTAGAAACATCTGCATCTGCCACAAAGAAACAAAACAGGGAATTTATTTCTTTCTCTCTGAGCCAAAGCTTTGCCAAGAGTCTTGAAACACGGTAAAATGATGTGGCAACTGCACTTTCATAAAAGAGGACCAAGGACAAATGCAGAGAGACATGGTGAAAGGGAATGTGCAAAGATGAGGAGGATATTGAAACTAATGATGGCTAAGTAAGTATAATCACATCAGTTCTGGCCAGAGCATTCATGCTGAAGCTTCATTTCTATCTCGCTGAAAATAATGAAGCGCAACACTCGCTGTCATTGCGAGCAATTAGAGAAACATTTTAATCTCCTCGAGGAGCCACAGCATTCAAAGTTTGGTGAAAACTCTAGCGTTAGCTTTTTCTGTCAGATGTCTAATCTCTGTTTTGTCATTTGCCATGTAATAACACAGATAACAAGTAATTTAAGGAACGCCCGAGGTTAAGCTCCACTCTTGTTAACAGATGTCTAACACAGGGAGCCAAGATGTCTGGTACTTAGCTGATTCTCGACATGTCCAGGGTGTCAGCACTGACGTAGTGCTCAAATGCCTAGAGGTAGAAAAGGCCAAGCATTTTGAAAGAGTGGGAATCTGTGTCCGTAAACATGGGCTACTTTTGAGATTTATGCTGAGTTTCTTTTCATAGCTTCCTCAACTATGCAGCACATTTATACCTCAAGAGCACTATTACTACTCAAACACTGTAAAACAGAATAAATGTCAAATATATGAGACCCTTGTACATCGGCACTGGTTATACAAACACTGAAAAGGCCATTTAGCTCCTAAACTCAAACTATTTCTGTTTCCTATGCAACCACAGCACCCTGTAAAGCAGTTTTCCTTTAGCAGCCTTGGAACACACAGTCACAAACCATTGTTAGCAACTGAGCACTTACAACCACAGGCTACTTTATACTTATTTCTAAGAGATTAAAATTTGCTTGTTGATCGACATGTGGTAGACGTTTTGGATTTCTAGAAACAATTGAATTATTTCCCAATTATACTGGCAGCTAAACTTAATCAGTCTGCGGTGGAGTAAAGCAGAGCTTGTAGAGCTAGCAGAAAGAACAAAAGAGGTTACATTAACAGTCCAAATATGAAAAAACCCTTCTATCAATCACACAGAATCTTCTGGAGCCTGAAAAAGCAAGTCTTTTTATAAGAGAGAAAGAGCCCCACCTAGTGGAACTTGAAAAAAGGTGCAGGTTTCTTTTTCCTTTTGAAAACTGGCTCAGTTATAAAGTTTGTAATCGAAAACACATCCTTATTACAACTAGAGGATTAATCATTTTAAGTCATTTTGATTGAGAATGACAAGTTTTGGTTGCACAAGAGACCTAGCCGTGGTCCAGACCAATGTTCTTCAGATGCACACTGCACCTGGAGAAATGTTAACTTTCTGAATATAGTCCAGAAAAACATACCAATAAATACTGCCATTTATATTAATATGTTAATTAAAATTATTAATAATTTAGTATTAACATTAAAGATCACATTTAAACTATATGGCTTACGCATCTACAAAACAATAGTTTTTCTGAGGTGTGTTGAGTTTATGAACTCTTTTAAATGCAAGTTGATTTTGTACAGACCTATTCTTTCCACATCTGTACTTTCTACATATCTACAGCAATCTACATTGAACACCATTAGTGCTTAAAATTTATTTTCCTGATTAGTTCACCACCACATTACTCAATGACTGACTTCAAGTCAGCTTTGTAAGTTGCAGTGTGCAGTTACAGATTTTCTGCTGATGAGGTCTATCAGGAGGTTACCCTGGTAGCTGGCGAATAAACTAGCGTTCTGTATGTGTTGTTTTAATATTTTTAGTACTTTTTCTATGTAAGCCATTCCAGTGTAACTGACAAAGTAAAAGATTAAACAATGAAAGACTTTACATAGGCTACTTCCTACATAAAATGTTTGCATAAATAAATATAGATTAAATGATATTTCCCGTATTCTGAAGTCAGATATGAATGGATATTTAAATAAAACAAAGCATGCTGACTGTGAAGACAGTTCAGGTGCGCAAATGGGATATCACTTTAAGAAAAAATTAAAATAGTTCAGCATTACTACACTTATTATTAGCTTATTTCTTGAGGAACTCATCTTTAATGCTATGTTCTATCCACTGACAAAGCTGGAAAACATGATTGGAGATGGGCACTGACCTTCGCACCACAGTCTGCGCCTTTACGCACACAAAAGCCAACAAAGGCAGGGTCTGCCACTTTCACGAGGATATTGTCCACACAGTAGACATGGATATAGGCGATTCCTCTTCTCTCCATGTCCTCTACAATCTTATGTGCGCCCAACGATCTGTACAGGCCTCCATTGCCATCTGAATAAATGGATTCAGAATCTTTGGTTACACAGTATTCACTATGTGCAATAAAAACATCAATTCTTGCATTCGTTCATACGTAGATGTCTGTAAAGTGCAGTACTGGGCAGCCAGATAACAGGTGCCATACAGACAACACTTACTATAATCAGGCAATAGTGTAATAATTGTTCATTGCATGAGGAAAGAAACTCTTCCAATTTCTGTTTTTTTAACAGGTTTCTTAAACTACCATAATGAGAAGTCAAAAGCTGCTTAAAGGTGCAATTTGTAAGATTTTTATTTTAAAACATTAATTAAAATTATCAACAGACTGTTAAGAAATAATAGTTTTGACGTTATGTGAAAAACGTGTGGAGTCGGCCATCAGCCCCAACATAAGAAGAGGTAGCACAAAGGGATGAAGATTGATGTTGAGCTTGCAACATTTCTTCTAGACTGGTAAGGAGGGAGGGAGGGGTGAAGAGGGAGGTGAAAGGGCTTGTTTCCTTGTTTCTTATAATAGGGGTGGACACTACAACTTACTGGTGGTATGTTGCCCCCTATTTGTTTGGAGTGTGGAGTATAAATTCAATATGTTAAGGCATCTTACATATTGCTCCTTTAAGTTACTACCGATATGAATTTTTGTTCTTCATAAATAAAAGATTCATAAGATTTCTAAACCTGATACACCTGCGGGTTATGCAGACAGGTTTTATGACTTTCTGGCAGTTTGGCAGCTTCACCGAGCATACTGTGGGAAGCCCGGCAGAGTTTGTTTACCCTGCCCTAACACATCCAAATTAAATTATAAGGACTTGTTACTTTGCTGGTTAGTTTAGTCAGGTGTGTTAAATTGGTAAACAGAAACTCTGCAGTGCAGTGTGATACCCTGCCTTAAACACTCCTGGCTAGAATCAGAACGCTGTCTCTACAGTGCAAAAGTCAGAGCTCACCCTTTATTTATTTACTTCCCTGTCAAAATGACAGGTTATTCAAGTTATTCATTTTCAGGAGATCTTGCTGAGGAGATTAGATACAAGATAATCCACTTGCCTGAGGAAGGGGAAATAAAAACCCCACAACTTTCCAAAACTGGGGTTTGAAAAATTATTAAAAGATTTAGTGAAAATTAAAGGAAAAATATGAAGGAAAACAACCGTACATGACCTGACAGGCTATCAAAACAATCACCATCAGATAAACAGTACTGAAAGCTTTCATCTTTGAGAGAGAGGAGAAAATCAAGCTCCACTCTTTCTTAAGATCTGAAAAAAACAGGTGTTTCTGTCCATCCTTCCACTGTGAGAAGACAACTCAACACTATGAGTCTGAAAGAATGTATAGCTGTCAACAAGCTGTTACTGAGAAAAAGTAAATAGACAAAAAAAGCTTGCACTAGAACACTGAAAATGGACATCTGAAATGTGGAGTAAGGTTTTATACACTAATGGGATTACTTGGATCATTTGTAATACAACCAATGTCCAACTTTGGAAGTGTGGAAAATATCCATTTCTTTGAAAAATTAAAGCAAGTCTATCGAAAAGAATGGAAGCTATAATGAAGGCAAAAATGGACAAACTAAATACTGAAAAATGTTTTTGATGTTATGTTTTTGAGGTTTCTTCTAATTGTTGTTGTAATCATACATGCTTTGTCCCCAGACACTGAAGAATGATTATCTTACACTTAATGGCCACTTTAACCAAAAGTTAAATAAATGAAAATTCATCTCTGTCTTTTGCACAGCACTGTATAAACCTGACCAAAATAAGATTGCTGTCTATATAAACTTTACCTGGTGCCATAGCCAGTTTGCCTTTACCCTCAAGTATAATCGTCCCATTGTAGTCCATGGCTGGAAGCATGCCTTGCTGGAAGAATATGACATTCTCTTCTTTAAGGCCGAAGTACTTGTGCTTTGAGAAGAACTCTTTAGTTGAATCCATTGTTCTGCCACTCGTCATGATGTACCTGACATTAAACCAAGCACAGTTATGAAGAGACTCCTTCTAACAATACTTTTCATGTCATTTACTTTTTTTTTCCTTTTTCTTTTCATCCATTTACCATGGAATTTACACACAATGCAAACAGGCATTTTCAAGTTATCTCAGAAACTAACAAACATCATAAAAGGGGATATGAGCAGCGATATACAATTACATACCAGTGTGAGTGTCTGTGTGTTAATCATATGCAAAAATATACACAGATACATGAAAGTATTGTTCTTTCAAATATCAACCTCATGTAAATATAGCCTTCTAGTGAATAATGAATATAGAAGACTATATAAGCCTTCACTAGAAGGCTAACATAGCCTTCTGGTGAATAATGAATAATAATAGAAATCCACAGATAACGCATCATCCCCTGCAAACATAGCATTTAACAGAAGGCATTTCATCATTCAAAGCAGATTTGAATTGCTAATAAATTCAGGGAATTTCTGGGGACGTGTTACATTTGATCTACTTCCTTATGGAACTCATCATGCATAGAATGATGTGGTAATAAGAGTGTGAACTCAGATCTGGAGATAAGGCTGAGCAGAGTTGATCAGAAATCAGCTGGTAAAGACTGGCACAGACGTCTGACCTTGAGGACACAACCCTGCTCTCACGTCAACCTGATTTTAAATCACCTATACTGTTTCGCAATCTTACTAATGGGGAATGTTAGGTTTATTATAAGAAGGACTTAACTTCCTTAATCATAAAAAGGTCTGATCTTTGTTCACATTTGATCTGTCAACACAATAAGTGCCAGAAACAGTTCTTATAATTATATATACTGAATAAAAAGTTTAGGGCTTTGCCTTTAAAGTGATGTCATATTTGGTCTCTGAAGTTTGGACGCAGGAACAGATGGCTACTGCTGCTACTGTTTACAATTATAATGTATGAAATTCACTCATTTTTACTACACAATTACTGCAACATACTACAACATATGTTCCTTCATTTTCATACATTATAATATTTCACACAAATCTGAGATTACCTAAAAACGCAGCATGGTTTGAAATGTGTGATATTTTAGGCTGTGTGATGATTTTTGGTTTCCATTTCTTGTTAGCTATACTGTACATGTAACGTCTGTACAAAACTGAAGAAGCAGAATTTTAAACACCAAACAAGTCTTGGTGGATGGACGACATTTGAGGTAAGGGAACAATTATGCAAATTAGATTTTTTTTCCCCAAACTATTACTTTAAACATGCTCTATCATTTTAGTTATTGGTAAAGTTTCTCACCATGGAATGCAGCACTTTGTCGCGTGATGCTGCTCAGCTAGCTGCTCCAATTTCAGGATACGTTCAGCCTGGATCTGAAAGAGGGTTTTGTGGGATGGCAGGCCGACGTCATACATGCCTTTGGGATACGAAACCCCTAGCCGAGTTCCCTGACCTCCAGCCAGCAGCAGAACTGCTACTTTGCTCTGAGAAATACAGCGCAGGCCTGTGCAGATGCATGAAAGGTTAGGTCACTATTAGACTCAAACAGGTTGAGACCACATTGTTTTAGCTACGATGATATAGATGCATGGATAAGAAAACAAGCCACTGGCTTAGTTACTATAGCAGAGCTGTAATCACAGCGCCACACAGTCTAGATCAAAGGAGTAAGACATGGTAACAGGGTGAATCAGACTACTTAACCATTTTGATGTCAACTTGTAAGTTTTATGAATATAAATAGTACTATGTAAAAGTTTTAGGCACTTTAAAAGAAAATTAACTGAGCAGTCAGTGTTTATTTACTCATAAAAATGCCAATATTAGAATAAATATAAATAACAATAATACAATAAATTGTGATTGTGTTAGTCTGTTCATTAAACCATTTCCAAACCCCCTCAAGGAAGCTCAGTATTATCTGTAGTTATTCTCCAACCCTCAGTACCTGGTATAGCATCATCAATCTTTTATTAAATTAAATCAGATTTGCTGGTATAATAAATCCATGCAATTTGCATTCTTTCTAAAAATTATCTGGCATTTAATACAGACAATAATACTTTTATTGCCCAGATAAAGGATTTAATAAGTTCACTTAGGTGCCCAAGACACAGACAGACAGTTGCAAAAGTCTGAATACCCCCAATCAAATTACTTTACTTTAAATGATTTAAATTAAATTATTTTTTTTTAATTAATTTTCTAAGTGAAAATAAGTTAAAACATCCTCTGCAGGGAACAGTTAAATATGGTATTTTTCTGCAAATTCCATTGCACGATTTCTATCTATTTACAGAGTTTAACATACTGGAAAAATAAAACATTAAATGTCATAACCTTTGCACAGCCCACATTTAGTGTCTTAAATTTTTCAGTATGTAAAATTCAGCAAGTAAACAGTATTTGTGCATTTAAATGTGCAGAAGCATGTTTTTTGTAGAGGACGTGCTTATTTTCAATTAGAAAATCAACTAAACATGTAACACGTAAATTGCCGCTGTCAGCTGTCAACGAAACCTCATTTCTCTGTTTTCATCAACTTTTGACGTAATTTGAAAACACCAGCTGCCCTTCACATTATGTCAGAATTTCATGATGAGAAATTACCTTACCTTCCACTGAAAAGTTATCATTGACATTAACCTTCACATGAGAAATTAACATTCTGAAAATATGCACTTTTTTGCCATCACCTACAATATATTAATGACTAATTCATACATCTGTTAACATATCAAATGTACATTACACATTTAACTATTTACTGTTTTTGATTATAATAAAAAATATATATATTTAATAATATATATATTTGGGTACTTAATAACCCAAAGTTCTTCTTAACCTAACCTTGTTATTATTGAAGAATAACAGGCCAGATAATAATGAATCAGACATGAAGAGCCCTCTTTATATACAGATAAAAAAAGACCTCGAACTACTGAATTCATAAACTATCTTGGAATGACATTCATAAACCATGTTTTCCTGAACTTTAGGAACATAGGTTGACACGCCTTGATAATATGGCACATACTTATCTTACATAAACTGCAGTTAAGTTTATCACCTAGTCCTACTCAGCCTGTACCATGAATTCTTTAGGACATACACACTCAGACATAGAAGTTAGCTGGATTTTGCATGAGAAATGGAATCAATGAGTTGCTAGACTTTGAATGTTCTTATAAAAACATGGAGTGATTAAGGCTTGACACAATGCTGAATGACCTCAGAAACGCACACGCAGGACCACCACTTACGTCAGTTTTAAAAAGAACCAGATGTCTCCAGCCCCCATTGCGAGTCCAAGCCCAAGGGTGGGCTGCTGGGACAAAACCCAGAGAAGATTTCAGCTCTTGCAGTCACTTCTATTTCAGATTTCTTTCACTGACACTAATCCCACCTTTTTTTTCTGCCCCCGCTGAGGAGAAGCTCTTGGCTAGAGCCAGTCATGAGTAACATTTTGGGCTAGTTAGATGTGGATTTCGAAATAACAGTGGTGAGATGGTTGTTTATTTAAGCTGCTTCATTCATACAAGTTACTGTACAGTCATACAGAATGACTAATGATAAAGCCAGTCATTACTACTAGCAGTAGTGATGTCTCTGCCCATGGAAGGTCTGATCAGATGATCTAAGATCTGTTTCTGCTAACATAATCATATCTCTACAAGCATATATAACCGCATGTTGATAAAATAGTGTGTCAGTTAATAACAAAACCTAACCTTCTTCTTCCCAGTCTTTGAGGGACTCTCGATCACGGGTTACACTTCCCAGGACCTCCCGCGGCACTGGCTCCATTCTGGCGTCCACCTTCTCCTGCTTGGTCTGTCCAGAGGCCTCCATAGCATGTTTAAAGAAGCAGTTGATCTCTTTGAAGTCCATGCTCTCCAGCTCGAAGGCCAGCTCAGCCTGCTCCTCAGGGCTGAGCTGGTCCCAGAACTGCAGGAGGTGGGACTGCCCAGCCTCGGCCAGTCTCTGTGCCAGTCTGCTGATGTCCATGCTCTCTGCTCACAGGTCCAGATCTAGGAGAATTATCATGAGAAAATTATGACATAAGCACAGATATAGATAGATAATCTAGCCTTTGTTGGAGTAGCAGGCACAATAACCTTCATTTCCCCTAAATCAAATGTATAGTAACTAAATCTTATACATGTTTAGAGTTAGCTATAAGTATCTCCCGGATATATTATCATCAGGACGTTTATGACAAACAGATCTACAGTCAGCTCTTCAGAGCAAGTTTATCAGGAACAGATCTGACAGGGAAACCAAACGTTGAGGATAATGCCTGCTAATGAGGACCAGAGAGCCACTATCGAAAACGTAAGCAGTAATGATCTGCCCAATTACATCTAGATCTTCGGGTCTCTACCTGTTTTCTGAGTTTCCTCCAAATTTATGGCCATATGGCAGTAGTACGGTGGTGTTAGTTCAGCAGTATATACGTCTCCTTTGAACACGTTAGTCTACGTTTCGGCGCCTTACAGAAACCAAACGACGGTTTTATTACCCGAAATCAATGTTCAGCTTTGGTTAACTTACCTATTCGTGAGAGAGAATTACAAATAATGAGAATATTACTAGTTCCCGGGTAAAAACACGAACTGACAGCTAAACTGAGAGTAGATGAGGTTTGCTAGACATGACTCCCTCTGCATGAGCGAGCTGTGCTGAGGCAGCTTAGGCGCTTTTTCACAACACGATTCTACCGTTGCAAAATTAACGGCTTGTTAAAATGTCCTTACCTTCAGTGAAGCTGACAGTATCCAGAGTAGACCTCTTCGCTTTCCCTTCTCCTGAAACACACTTGGCTACGTTACCCACTACGAGAAAATCCGCCTCCCGTTTCCGTCATTTGACGTGGCACCAAACGCGGGTGGGAACGCCCGGCCAACGCTCCAAAAGGCCGCGCTCCATTTAGCGTACTTGAGTACTAACTAGGACGCTTACTCACTGCGTAGTACACAAACACACTGGTGGCAGAAATCTACGCACTAGCTAAGCGCTCTACTTGGAAGACAAGTGTGCAGATTGGAGCGCGCCCACAGACTTCAAACGGCACATGGTACCTGTTTAACTTCACTTGAAGTAGTTGCAATTCAGTTTTATTAAGTGTATATTTTTTATTTATAAAGTATTTATTTCTCTTCTTTAAAAATGCTTTAGTATGGACATTTTAATTCATGAAGGGCTAGAAGGTATGTTCAACTGTAACGTAGCTACAGATCATTTAAAGTTAAAAGTGATTAGCTGATTTTTTGTGCATGACTCCTTTCCCCTCTCTCTCTCTTTACATAGTAAGAATAATACGTATCTTCTGCAGCTACTGCTCTAAAATGTGTTTCGGTGTGTCGTGCTATGGCACTGCCTATGGTGCCGTCTGTAAGGGTCTACATTGTTTATTGTTTTGTTTTTGTTGTTTATTTTTGTTTTGTTGTCTATGCATGCCACACAGCAAAAGATGACAAACAAAAATGACTCATGTTCGTTATATTGAGACTTTATTGCTTTACACATTTTATTACTAATAGTACTCCTGCATTTTAGATCATCTAACGCTAACTGCTTCGGTTCTGGCAACAAACATGAATAAATAAAGATGCGCAGTCGAGTGAAGTAGTTTCCGGTAAGTAGTGACTTCACTTCCGATCAAATGGCCGCCAAAACAATGGCTGGAATGTTGAGTTTTACCACCAAGGAAAACAGTTTTATTTATTATTTTCTCATGTAACATTATATACGATACTCCATTCCAGTCTTCGGAGTGGACTGTGTAGTGCTCGATATGCCGTGAGCAGCGAGGCTGAAAGTTACAGCTGTGGTGTTTGAACTGCTTTTGGAGGAAACTTCGTTAACTTACTGCTGTAACTCGCACTGTCGCGTTAGCTTAGCTAGCGTTTACACAGAGGTCGAGTCTGTCCGCTGATTTTAAATCTTCCAAATGAAAGAAAGCCGTGTTCACAACCGCTTAGTGAGCTGCCGTTAGTGTGGCTGTAGTGTAGCTTGCTGCCTGGGATGCAGTGAGCAGCAGGGAAGCCTTTTCTCTCCTCCTTTGACTGAAATGGCTACCTAGCCGCTCAGCTCCGTTATGGCCTGTGGTTCAGGAAGCAGCCCCGTTAGTATCGCCTCGGTGCTGCCCGTAGCTCCGTCGTCAGACGAGGCCATGAAGCCGGTTCTCTTCGAGATCTTCGGCGAAATGTGGAAGGTACAGGCCCGCCTAGGGCAGGGGGGTTCGGCCTCAGTGTACCGGGTCAGTTCGGTCAGCTCGGGCAGAGCCAGCTCGGCCGCCGTGAAGGAGTTCCAGGCGGACGCACAAGGCGGGGATTACGGGTATCTGAAGGAGAGAGCTGTGTTGGAGGATATCCAGGGACACAAAAATATCGGTAGGTAGACTGGCATGCATCTGGAGTGCTTCTGAAACGAGGATAAGCACTGGGCACAGTCAGAGCAGAAGCACTGTAATTACCATCCCTGATCCTGGAATGGAAAACCTGTGCCTCACATACTGTAGCTAGTGTTTTCCCTGCTCCAGCGCAGTTGCTCTCAACCCCAGTCCTGAGGACCCCTTTTCATGAAGGGCTTTGTAGTTAGGTTATGTATCTTATGACTTGCACTTGTTTGGGGGAGGTCGTCCCCAGAACTGGAGATGACAGTCACTGCTCTAACAGAGCCACTTCAAGGGTTAGTTAGCTAACTAAATGGGTCAAGTTTATTAGGACAGAGGTACTTTAGGACCAAGTTCAGTCATTGCAGAAGACTGTTTTGCCTCTTATCTGTATTGGTCTTAAATGGGATGTTCACCTGCATTGTTTTGCTCTTGATCTGTAGTGACCCTGTATGGAGTGTTCACCCACCATAACCCACTGGGCATAGCCACACGCTGTTTACTGCTTGAGCTTCTGGATGTGAGCGTGTCAGAATTGTTGGTCAGAGCAAGCAACCAGGGTCACTCCATGTGGCTGATCCAGCATTGCGCCCGTGACGTGCTCGAGGCTCTGTGCTTTCTGCATAGAGAGGGCTATGTGCACGCCGACCTCAAGCCCCGCAACATCCTCTGGAGCCCCGATGATGAGTGCTTTAAGCTCATTGACTTTGGGCTGAGCTTCAAAGAGGGGCACCAGGTGAGGAGCTGGTTGTGGGCTAAAATGATGCAGTTGCTTAAATTAAAAAAACACTATATATGCGCATATTATGATTGTCATTGCTTTTAAAATATTTACCACGAACTCTCGCCTTGAGATGGCTGCTCACAGTGTTGTCATGCTGATTCATGTTTGTGCCTCACAGGATGTGAAGTACATCCAGACTGATGGGTACCGGGCCCCAGAGGCAGAGCTGCAGAATTCACTGGCCAAGGCAGGGCTGGAGGGAGACTCCGGCTGCACTACCGCTGTGGACTTGTGGAGCTTGGGCATCATTCTGCTGGAAATGTTCTCAGGAATCAAACTGAAAGAAACCATCAAGTCTCAGGAATGGAAGGTCAGTAGAGGATATTGCTCTTTGCTATTTATACATCATTGCTAATGAAACTTCAGATGGAAGTTACAGCAAGTGTTTTGAAGGTTTTATTTTAATACCCAAACATTTAAAAGTAAAAAAATGACCCATACAAACAAGCAAAGATAAAAACAAGTTTTAGTGCTTTACATGAATAATTAAAGTGAGGTGTGTTCAAGCATATCAACAACATAATGTTTTTAAAATAAATAAATTCTTCCTATATTTATCTTTCATAATATTAGTTAGCTTCAGCACATCTTTTTCAGCCATCTTCCTACATTTTGTCTTCTGGTGGTCTTCCTTTGTAAAGTAATGTCGATTTACTTGTGCGTTATTGAAGTGATTTCTCAGTTCAGTAATATGAACATATTAACTATGACTATACATTTACTTAGAGTAAATGAATATTCAGAATTTGAATGTCTAGAAGATCATTTGGATGTGATTACATGCTGTGAGTACAAATGATGGCTGCTTTGATTACACTGTTATGTGCTATTCTTCTGCAGAACAACAGTGCAGCAATTGTAGATCATATCTTTTCAAGCAATTCTGTGGTGTACCCTGCGATTCCTGTCTATCATCTGAGAGATCTTATCAAAAGGTAGACAATTGTATACAAAACACTCACAGTCTAAACTCTGTGTAGGTTTTTGCACATGTGAATGACATGTATGTCTTTCTGTCTTTAGCATGCTTCACAACAACCCCAATCGCAGGAGCACGGCTGAAGCTGCACTGATCAGTCCCTTCTTCAGTATTCCTTTTGGTATGAACATTTAAAGTAGAACATTTATCACAGTGATGCATTACCCAGATACATAGACTTGTGGTTACATGAATGAGAAAATTACTTTGTTCTCAGCACCTCACATTGAAGACTTGGTTATGCTCCCTACACCCATCCTTAGACTGCTCAACGTAATTGATGACTGTCATTTGCACAATGATGATGAATACGAAGGTGGGTGGTACTGTCAGCTGTTTAAGTTTTTGAAATCAAGGTAACATTAAAGGCAGCTAAGGTTTAATCGACCTGTTGAAAAGAGCAGGGCATAAACTACCACAGGGTAATGGTATTTGTATAACATGTATAACATTTGTATAACATGGATATTGTATATAGTTAAGTAGGTTTAATCAGATTGTGCTTTTAGTCTTGTCCTTGTATCCCCACAGCAGTGTCATCTGAATTTTCACAGCAAGTGGACAGATATTCAGATATATAAGATTCACCCTTAAGTTTTTGTACCATAAATGTAACTTTGTTTTTCAATCACTGCGTTGTGTGTATAAGTCACAGAATTCACACATATATTATTTTAATCTCCCTTGTCTTAATCTTACTGGTTGTAATATAGCACCATTTTTAAAAATGTAAATAACTCACAGTAACAGCGAGCCAGGCTAAAGTGCAGCCTCACATGGTGGGGTAAGTGTTTACAGTGTTTACATTTAAACCTCCCTAGAGAGACAGTGGGACAAGTCTATATGTCCCCTATATAAACTGTCATTTTTTGGAAGTTTTTATGCATGGATGTCACATAAATAAAATATATTTCAGTTTTATCATGCTGCTATATGCTCTTGGACTTTGTAACTTTCACAGTTATTTTGGTGACATTTTATGTATTTAGATTGGAACGTTCATCTGAGTCAAGCAATGCCGAATTGTATTAATTGTGCTTTGCATCGATTTACCAGTCATTTTGATGACCGTTACATCTAGCCCCTCTGTCTGTTACTGTGACATTTTTACTCTCTCTGCTTTTTGCTGAATTATTAATCTGTAGGTACTGGAAATAAACTGTGTTTGTTTGTAGCATAGATGTATGGGTTGCTTGTATAAAAATGATTAAACTTGCTCAAATTCTTTAAAATTAATGAGCAAAAAACAAACTGTTAGGTTGTGCCCTGCTCTCCTCTACTTTTTAGTGTTCCATAGTGCATGACATTATTTTCTGATTGTGCCTTGATTTGCCAGTATGGTTTTTAGTCTTTTGTTACCTAAAAGGACTGTTGCCCATATAGGCTCTCCAATTAGCAGGTGTATTTTGTTTGTTAGTTATTATTTTTTTTTTATTATTTAGAAATTATGGAAGACATGAGGGAAGAATGCCAGAAATATGGTTCAGTCATATCCCTGTTGATTCCTAAAGAAAATCCTGGCAAAGGCCAGGTAAGTCTTTATCATTTCTGATAGACAACATATTCATGTCTCATAGTCCTGAAATTGGGATAATTGGTGGGTAACAAGTGTCTAATCTGTTATTTGGCTTTCTTGTGGTTTTTTTCTACTTTGGTTAAAAAAATATATATTAGTACTGAGGTTATGTTGTAATGGACCACCGTCTGCCTGCAGGTCTTTGTAGAGTATGCAAATGCTGGAGACTCCAAAGAAGCCCAGAGGCTGCTGACAGGCCGGACATTTGATGGCAAGTTTGTGGTTGCCACCTTCTACCCACTGAGTGCCTATAAGAGAGGTTATCTGTATCAAACTGTGCAGTAAGGGGCTACACGCACATAATCATATGCATTCATGCAATCTATTCCATTATGACAGTTGCTTAGCAGTTGTTAAGCCCATACTGTGTCTACCAAGATTATCATTTGTACTACATGAAGTGTTTACCTTTAAAAACATATAGCATTATAAAAGGCACATACACATACGTAGCGTGAAGACCGGTACCTGATTCTATGTCTTCAGTACCTAAAGGTTACCGGGGCTTGCTCACATCATGCAATAATGTCTGACTGTAATGTCATTTTTAGTCATAAAATATCACAAAGTCCTTAAAAAAAATGAAAGGAAAATGTGACTGACAGTTTTCAGTGATCCAGTACTGCTTGCATATGTGCTTTCCTGCTGTGTGAAACACAATATAGTCAGTAGTTTATGTAATATTGAGTATGTAGGTTTGCTGCTTGGATTTTTGAAAACTGTTAATCACTTTATACCATGTTTACTCAGTCCTATCTGTTGATTACCTAAAATCTATAAGTCTTTCCAGTGTGCACATATTTATGAGTTACTGGCAAAACACACTGCCTTGCTTGCACTTTGGAGTGGTTACATTTCTTCTAAAGAGCTTTAAAACTGCATTAGATTGAAACCAGACTCTGAGCACAAACAACCTTTGAAAGGTATTAGGTAGTCATATTCATTTTCAGTTTACTGGGGGTTTGTAAAGTGCAGAAACTGCAGCACCCGTTTATGCTATGTCTAGCCCAAAATCTTAAAAAAAACAAACCCTTTGTAAGTTTCTGCAGGGTGACAGCTTTTTACTGTAGAACTTGAATTCCTAATGTATGGTGTCTGTTTGAATGCTAATTTGTTCAGAAACACTTTGAACATAGTGGTACAGAATTCTTAGGGCCAGTTTCCCAGACCCAGATTGAGCCTTAGCCAAGACTAAATAGTATTTTTGGCATGGCAGTTTAGTCCAGGACTGGGCTTAATCCATGTCCATGCAACTGACCCTTAGTGTTTTTTCTTTCAGTTTTTGCAAATGGAGATTCCATATAATATCTTTGCTAGCTGGTGTTGGGAAAGATAAAGGAAATAGTTAAGCTTGCCTCTTGCGTTGATTAGACTGCAACTGTGAATAGCCTACTACCTTGACTCATGGATTTATTATGCTGTCTTCATACAAGCTTGTCAGTTTTGTGCTCTGATCTTGAAGCACATTGTGCATTCTGCTGTATTCATAATCAACAGTAGTATACATTTTTTTTGTTTTGTTTTGTTTTTTGGAAGCTGTTGGTCACCTTTATGAAATGGCTAATACTCTGTGTCCATTTATTGTTTCTCAGTATGATTATAGGCTGAATTACAAATTAAGCCTTTTGGCATCTGGCACAAACCAGTGGTTTTATCTTGATTTTGTTACCTTTGTGTTTTTTTCCACTTAAAATAGTAATGGTACTTGAATTTGCCTAACATTTGTTTAGCCACAGTTAGGGAATTTTAAAAAAAGGTGATAACCCCAGCGAAAAGGAGAAAGAAGAAAAATAAATCTCTAGGATGAGATTGATATTTACCTCTTAAAGATCAAAAGATCATTAGAGTGTGCGATATGAGAATCAACAGTCAGTGACCTTAAGAACCATATTTTAGAACTGTAAATGATTTATTTAAAGAAATACAAAGCTATTTTGGTGACCACTGGGATGTGAGGAAAGATTCTGTTGCCTTCGAGAATAGAAAAATACCATACATTTGATACAAACAAAAATAGCTTTACAAATTCCTGATTGTGACTCTCTTGCTGTGCGGTAACAGTTTAATAGTTTGCATGCACATTTTAATTTTCGAAACTATAGAAGCTCTCTAATCAGTAAGTATATGCATTTGAATCTGATCATTAGTGTTTACAGACACTTTCTGGTTGATATGAGCTTTTTTTTTTTCTGTATAGTCTTCAGAGCTTTCGAGTATCCTGAGCTGCCATCCGAAATGCAAAGCCGTTCCTTCTTCTGTCTTTTGCATTATAGAAATGTATGTAAGTGTACAAGACAATGTGAAAAGAAGTGGGTTTAAGGCAGTTTTTGTGGATGCAAAAGTTTGTAAGAGTGTTGAAGTTTAGATTTTGCACATTACTACTGATCTAAGCTCTTCATTGTAGTTTGTTAGTGAGCTGTCTCTGTTGAATTGGACAGGGTACTGCTAGATTTTCTTTAAAAGGACATTTGTTAAGCTTTTTGTCGGAGTGTGTGTGAAAGTCTGTGCAGTGAAAGTCGGCTGTGCTCAATGATTACCTACATTCTGATTCTGAATGAGAAGGTTCTAAACTGAAGGCATTGGTTTTGATAGAAGGTAAAGCATAAAGCTGATGTTGCTGGGTCTTTCAGTGTACGTTTTTTTGTACTGCTTTTCATTTCTCCAGACGCTCCAAGCTTTGTGCATGAAGAGAGAGCCTCTATTAGGCAAATATAATAATTGTTCCAAATGAATTCCTTGGTGGCCTGGATAGAAATGAACTGAAATGACTCTAATAAGACAGTTAAATTCTCTGTTCTATACTCTCTCCTGAATGAGTTACAGGAGACCTACAATTTATAGTAAGCACATACAAAGTAGTGAAAATACCATGGATTTTTTTCAGACAACATTACCTCAAAATACAAGCTGATAACTATGATTATGAATCATCTTTCAGAGTGAGCTCATGTGTTGGAATGGTACATTAAAGCTTAAATCTAGAAAGAGATTTGTGAAGATGTGGCTGTGCACTGCCTGTGATGTTATGATCTCAACCATTTCTGGATTGCAGGGTGGGTCAAGTGGATACATTTACATAAAAGTGGTAAAACCGGGTTCCCTTAGATTCCTGAATGACTACTGAGGAAGATACAATGAATCATCAATGTGCCTTTGTTTCCTCATAGACTATTTTTACACCCAACTCCAGCCGGCAGATCCATTCTCTTTGCAAAAGTGTGTAAACAGTGCTATCTAGTAACTAGTCTATTAGAAGAACCATGACTTCTGTGTCTGCTTGTGTAGTGTTAAAATGATCTTGTGTCACTGAGAGTTACCTATGTAACCTCACAGTCCTCTCGAATTTCATGCCTCTTTGTTCAGTTTCTTTTCAGCGGTTGTGCTCGTTCATGGGTCAGTAGTTTGGGTCTTATCCAGAAGGGCGAAGTAGGATATGATGCGGTAAACCAGGTTAGACAAACCTGCCCTGATAAGCTTGTTCCATTCCACACGCATTAGTTCACTCCGGACACTACTAAACTAGTTTTATAACACTGACGTAATGGTGCAGAAAGTATGCAGAGAAAATTCCAAAAGAACCTTGTCTTGCCCCAGAGGATGATTTGAAAATTATTCCCTTAGAAGAGTTGCTTTTCCTCTTTTGTCTTTATCTACTGCCAGAGTCTGGGGGCTTTCAGAATTAAAATGCACAAAAGTAAGCCCCCTCGCCTTCTCAGAGAAATTGTTTCAGCACACTGTGTAAAATTGTGAAGTTAACAACTATGGAAAAAGTGCCAACAATCAGAGCTAAACTGACGGTTCAGAGTCAAACCATAACAGCAAAAATGACCCAAGGCTACACTGTGGATTTATTTACGTCTTTATTTACTTGCTTTTTATTTACTTTGTGAAATGTTGCCTGCTGAGCTTGAGATGCAGCTGCTGCGAATACTAAACCTGGCTGGCTGTCAACATCCTGAGTGGAGAGAGAGGGTGATAGGGTTGTACTGGTCTTTTGTGTTATGTCTTGTGCAAGAGAGCAGCTTTTTGAAGGAAAAAGCCATGGGGTGTGGACAAACACCCAGCCGTGGGAGCAGAATGCCCTTTACTGCTTGATCTCTTTAGAAAGGTTGCTGAACAAAGCTGCCAGCTCAAATGCAATTTTGGCTTGGCAGCAACTATTCACTCCCCCTTCTCTCACCTTCTAAGTTTGCTGCTCGGCAATGAAGTGCAGCGATTGTCTCTATTCCAACTTGTTTCCAAGTTGTTTCAGGTGCAACTTTGGAGCTAATCTAATTAAAAAAGGTTTGTCTCTAAATTTCTACATTTTACAGAGTGAGCAGAAAGGTAGCAAAATGTAATTGAGTATGAATTAGCTCCTTGGGCAGAGGCTCACTGGATCTCGCACTGATAATGATGGTCAAACTGACCTGCTCAGGATGTTTTAGGTGTGGATTTATGCTGGTGGGAAGCTCATAGGTGCTGTAAAAAGACAGGTATGTGTGAATAAATTTTACAAAGCAAATAATTTTTACTTCTATTAAACAGTCTCACAGCTTTTGTGGAATGTATAGGCTTTGATTACACTAATTATCAACCAAATATCTGTAGAGAGTAAAGAGTTGTAGAACAGGATGCTCGTATGCTTACAGATGAAGAGAGAGCGGATTAGGTTGGACGAGACTGAAGCCTGTTGTGCTTTACATACTGCTTTGTTACAGAGATGTTTAGTGATGTGGGATTTCTGGCTTTTTGAATGAATTAGGTTGGTATAACGGGTCTCAGTTTTTCAGTGGTTGATCAGGCAGTAAACAGTGTTATCTCACTCTCATATATATATATATATATATATATATATATATATATATATATATATATATATATATATATATATACACACACACACACACATATATGTTTACTACAATTGTATCTTGTATTGCAGTACTACTCAAAAGTCAGAGACGACCCTTTATTTTGTTTAATTTCCAGTCAAAACAGACATGCAAGTTCATACTTTTTCGCACTGGGGGGGGAGCAGGAAAATCATATATTTAATAAAGAATTACATAGAAACCTCAACAACTAAATTTCAACTAAAATTTTAGCATTTACTATGTCCATCCTTGGCCTTTATTAGAGCTTCTGTTCTTTTCTGGAGACTTGCTTTCAATTTTTCAAAGAAATCTGCAGGAATATTTTTCTACACCTCTTAAGTTCAGTCTTAGAAATGAGCTGCATTTTCTGCTTCTCAAAATCCTAATTACAAATTTAGACTCCTCAGTCTGTAAACATAAACGCTACTGCACATCTCACATGTCCAGTTCCAGTATTCTGGTGAAAATGGTCTTCCTTTTTCAGTAATAGTGTGCTGACAGCTACACATCCTTTCAGACCTATAGTGTTGTTGTCTTCTCACAGTGGAAAGACTGACAGAAACACTCGTGGATTTTTCCAGATCAGGGCCCTTATTCGAAAGCGTCTCAGATTAGGAGTGCTGAACTAGGATCTGTTCCTGTCAGTAAGATCATCATAAGTAAGACATGAATGCGGTCATAAGTCAGCACTCCTACTTTAAGAAGCTTTGTGAAAACAGGCCCTGAAACAAGAGTGGAGCTTGATTTTTCTCCTTTCTCTCAAAGATGAAAGCTTGATGGCGGTACCAGGTATTGCAGTTATTAGGAGTCCCATTTTCTCTATATCTTCAAAATATATAAAAGTTTATAGCTTGTACTTAATGGCCATTTTGACTGGAAGTTAAGGAATGACTTTTGCACAGTACTGTATATTCTTAAAATGTGATTTAAAGATGTGATCATTACCAGTAGAAAATGACTGCTGCAGCTTTAACAGTGAAAATGAATGGTAAAATACTGATAATGACAGTCTGATTATGACACTCAGACTAAGAGGTCACTTATGGAAATTAAATGTAATTGCAGTTTTTCATGATTGATCACAACTGAAAGGCTCAATGACAAAACTGCAATGTGGGCTGGTAGACGTGGAACGATACCCGTACGGTAATACTGTTAAAAATAATGCAAGCCACAGTTCTTTTGAGATTCCTTTAGTTTTGTGTATTCAGACAATCACTAGTTCCACCATTGCCTTCCTTTTTGTATATCTTATCTGTTTGACTACACTGTAGACCGTCGTGGGAAAGATTGGATGAGACAGGAGGAAAGATGATGTTTTGATCTGAGTTCTGCCTTATAGCCCACATAGAAAGCTGTGCTGGGTGGAAAACTTGAATTTGAAGCTGTTACAGAGTAGAATATTTACCAAATGAAATATGTAGATTTGGATGTGAACGTGTGTATTTTTATTTTGTTGAATGAGCTAAAATGAACAGAGTTGGATTCCCCAAAAAGACTGTAGCCATAAGGTCAAAGGGAGGAGTGTTCTAGTGATCCACACCTGTTTATTAGAGAGAGTGTTGCAGTGAAAATCGATTTTATGATTAGCTTAGAGCTGCAGTGCGTTTGGGGAAACTTGTCACAGCAGATTGTACATGCACTATAGCCTGGGCAAGCCTATGCTTTTGTCTCACATAACTCTGTAATGAATGAGTGATGGTCATGTTTCTCACAATAAAATGTCAATTACTACTCCACTGGCTTTGTGTTTTCTTGAGGTCATGATTTACTGGACATAAATTTTCCCACCTTTTACAGCAGAAACATTCTCACCATTGTTTAATAGGTCTTGGGTGCATAATTGAGTGTTTTTTATTCAGTGCTAGGACATCAAGTATGTATATTCCCTTCCTTAAAAGCTTATTTCGAAGCTCACTCTTCGAAGGCACTCTCAGCCAGGCCAGCAGTCAACTTTAAAGCCAAACCGAATTGAAAAACAACTTAAAAAACATTATAAAACATTACAACTGCATAGCATTTTTCAGCAATCAAGTATTTTGTAAAAGAGGGCATTTAAAGCATAGTCTTTCATAATGGCAGATCATTCAAGCACAAATCCACTCACCAAATTGTAATGCCTTTTTTCTGTCATTTGGGGGCAGCACTAGCATTAAAAAGGAAAAGCTACATGAATGACATAAAAAGTGGTGTTTTTGTGCATTAGACATTATAGTTAAGACTTTAAATAGTATGACAGGCTTATTTATAATGACTTGTACAGGAAGATGTGTGTTTTTTTTCCTCATTAAGAGGCAAAGCACCATGTGCAAAAGAAAACACAATGCTACTCATTCATATACATAAAAAAACACCCTTTTTTAACTTAATTTCCAGTTAAAATGCCCATTAAGAAGTTTTTTATTTTTTAGTGTCAGGGGAAAAAAGCAGAAAATACACAAAGGCTTCAACAACTACATTTATATCAATATTTTCAGTATTTAGTGTGTTCACTCCTTGCTGTTATTATAGCTTCTGTTCTTTTCAGGAGACTTGCTTTCAGTTTTTCAAAGAACAGCGCAAGGATATTTTTCCACACCTCCAAAGTTTAGCCTTAGAAGTTGGTTGCATTTTTGTCTTCTCACAATCAAAGTAATCCTAACTACAAGTTCATTAATACCATACTTCACATCTCAGATGTCCAGTTCTTGTGCGATTTTTCTTCTTTTTTTGTTTTTTTTCCTTTCTCATTAGCAGCCTCTTAACAGCTACTCATTCTTTTAGGCACATAGCGTTGTCTTCTCACAGTGGAAGAATGGACAGAAATACCTGTGGATTTTATTTATTTTTCAGATTTTTATATCTCAAAGATGAAAGTTTGAAGTGCTGTTTTTTGATGGTGAGTTTTGGTGGTCTACTAGGTTGTTAGGAGTGTCATTTTCTAATAGAGATCCTTTCTGAATATACATGAGAAGGAAATGTGTGAGGCAGCTACAATGTGTTTTGAGTAGTTGCTTGTGTGAATGTCTGTGATGGGAAACGAAATATCAGTAATAACTTTTGTTAGGAAGACAGCTGCAACTCAATGGCTTTAAGATTAGAAATGTGTAAGAGTTAAAGTGGCACTAGTGTGCACAAAAGCAAAAAGTAGACCGATACAGTTTAAAGTAATAAAGTGTTGGAGGGTTTGTTCATTCATCTATTAAATATACATTTCCTACTTTTTTTTACACTGAAATCTTTTGGAAACTGAAAAGTGGTTTCAGACTTTTGCACGGCACTGTGTATATCAAATGTTTAAAAATTGTTCATGCAGGCTTTATAAAGAAGGAAAAGTCTTTTAAACTAGTTCCAGTGTATATTTTAGATTCTATCATCTATTTTTTTGTAACCGCACTCTCTCATACACCTGCTGTCTTGTTTTGTAGGTTCATTACTGACCAAGAATGCTTCCCAGACACCCGCTGTAGAGTGTCTATATTACAGGCCTGCAGTAGCTGTCTGTACAGCCACACACATGCCTGTTTATGGGCTCCACACTTTACAGCAAGTCTAATAAAAGAAGCTGTGAATGTCTGGCCTATTTGTGGATGCACAGTCACTCACAACATCTGCATTGTCCCTGAATGAACAACAAAAGAAAACCCAAGCTGTTTCACTGTGTTTGCTGCAGAAAATGGTCAGATCTATATAGAATTCAAAAAGTTTGAAAGTGTGGTACCTGGCAACCCTCTATTTTCCCCTCAAACTCAGGCATGACTGCACAAACTTGTCTGTGCGCTCAATTGTGTACACAAGCAGAAATGGCTGCGGAGAGAATGGAATGTGGGATTCATTTTGGGTCAGATGATGCCTGTTGCTTGCTTGGGTGCCTATTCACTCCTGACGTCATGCTCTGCACCTGGACAACACTTCCAGCTTAAACACTGTGGCTGCACCTGTGGATTACCATGCATCTGAACAGCCACCTGCCACCATTAATCCTAAAGCTGGGACAAACATGCACTCACACCAACCACCCATTTTTTACAGTTGTTTTCTTACAGATTAAGTGGATAACTGGCAACCAAACAATCACCAGAAATGCGCACTGTTGGGTTCAAGGAGCCGAGACTAAGCTGATGGACAATTTCAGAAAGTGCTTGTTTTGACAGAAGGCAATAAGTTGAGTCATGGAAGTGGCATTAAAAATAAATCATGCTAACACATTTAAGCCTTGCCTTTTTTTTTGCCAAGAAGCAAAAAGTACAGCATTGGATTTAATCCACTATTAAATACAAAGGATAATTAAAATGTGTATTTATGTCTATGCTCAGATTATTTACTGCACATTTAAAGAATGCATAACAGTGCTTAATAAGCAGCTGTTTATGCATATAGAAGAACAGAAAAGAAATACTGGTACTTGTTTGGGCATCAATTCAGTTATCATGGACAGTCTAGACAAATCGCGCTATGTGAACAACTGAAGATCAATCCACAATCATTGGAAAAAGATTTATTGTATAATTCCAGCATTTACATGTTTTTGACAGAGCTCAGAGCTGTAGGTTCTGGGTTTCAGTGCATCCATGTGGCAGTTAAAAAAACAAACAAAAAAAAAACAGCAGCTTAGCAAAATACAGGGTTAGAAATCCTTGGTAGGTCTGTTGGAAGGAGCCTCACATTCAGGAGAGAATCAGCAGGCGAGCCACATTTACAACAAATTGCTAGAAGTCTTCACACAAATGTCTGCTAATTTATCTCCCAACAACATATACTGCACCCCTAAAATGAAACCAATAAGAAGTGATGCATGGACATTCCTCTATGTTAATGGCTGTAGCCTTTTACTGAATGTGTGCTGCAAGCAGTGCTACAACGTGTACAAAGTTTAGTTTCACTTCGTTTTTTGCCACTAGCCACTATAGAAGTGTGTACAAAATGGTAGGTTTGGTGAGGCATCATGGTTCCTTGGTAGGGCACTGACTCACACCCTGATAAACCTGAACGAATTTACTACACGTTATGTTTCCAGTGAGCATTGCAAATCTGCATTGATGCACCTTTGCTGTCATAAGGTTTTATAGTCCACTCCCTATCTCAGCTAGCTACTTTGGGATAGCCCTGAATGTGCGAATCAGGGAAGCAGAGTAGACCGGCCAAGGCAGTGAAACTAAGCCACATTTTCACTCTGTAGTAAAATCTGCACTTGTCTGCCAACTTCTATTTGGTTTTGCAGATGGCTTTCGGCTCATACAAGCATGATATAAATTGTCAGAGACGAAGCTTAGGCAAAACTGGAAAAATGGGGATTGCAATAGTACTCGAGAAAGTCCTTCAGAAGGGAGGATGAGTCATCTGTCCAGCACCAGTGGAGCCAATTTGCTTTGCTGCTGGATTTCATTGCCTCCTAAAACTTGGTATTTCCATTGCGGTGGTAATGCGATGGAAGGTAAAAATAGAGCCGGAACCTGTGCTTGATTTCTGAAGGCCTCATAACTCTTCACACTAGTGTTGGGTGGTATCCCCTTTTTTAATACCTTCAAACCGTCTCCAGAAATGACGGCAGTATATGGTATTACCAAATAAGTGGACAATGTATCAAGAGCTGCACTAAAATCCAGTAAGACCAGATTTTTTGCATCAGTGCTGAGCCTGAGATCACTGACAACACAAACCAGTGCTGTTTCAGTACCATGGTTAGAACGAAAGCCAGATTAAAACTTCTCATATAACTTGTTTGACATTTTTCATAAGACTTTCTCTTTTTGAAAAAGTGGAGGGTTTGACTTTTTCTAAGACTTTTTCCTTTTTTAAAAAAGGATGGTTTAAAATTGGCCTAAAATTATTTAGAATGGAAGGATCCATGCTACTCTTTTTTAGCAGAGGCTTCACCCAGGCAGTTTCCAAAGTGTCCAGAAAAGCACCTGTTGACAGAGGACAGTTCACAGTAGTTAAAATATAATTTTGAACACAATCAAAAACCATCTTAGGGAGAGAAGTAGGAGCAGGGTCAAGATCACATCCAACTTCAGTGCTGACACAAGTTTGGATGATAAAAAATAATGATTAAAATCTGAGAGAGTGAAGTCGAGCTCCCGTTGAAAGCCGAGCCATTGTGGGAGTTTTCTGACCGGGAGTTACATGGTGATGCAGACCAGCCCACCCCAAACTGTACACACAAACACACACACGTCTTTCTAAAATCTGCGTTTTCATTTTCTTTATTTCCTGCCGCTGCTGTTCATCTTCATTTTTATTTAATTAAAAAACAGTAATGAACTCTGTAGAGCACTATTGTGTCAGCCAGCATCAGATTCACCGTCTGGCTGGAGACTAATATCTTGAGGCTAATGTTAGCTTCTAATTTGAGTTTCTGTTCCACCTTAAATAGTGCAGCAGTTACACATTAGCACTCGTACTGGTATCTGAATGCAACTGCCACATCATTTATGAAAAATGAGAATAAGAAGCTTCATCTTCAGCTTCATCTAATCTCTATCCACTCACTATACAGGACTCAGTTACCATCAGCAAATTGGGGCTGCACCACGAGGTAGGGGCCACTGGTTTAACTCCTAATTTGTAGATGTACACCTGGATGCAACATTTAGGCTATAGGTTGACTGGTTGTTCTTGTGCTTATAAGCTTGAGTTTATACATTAGCTTACAGTAACCAGCCCAATATGCTACACCAGCCCTCTGGAAATTCTTCCAATTTTCCCGATTATCCACTCCAGCATTGGTTGAAGGGACAGAAAGGCAAAATTCA